GCCGCGCGCGGTGACATACCACCATCACCCATTACAACGCTGCTGCTCATTGAGAGGTCCCCGAGCCCTGCACAGAGCGGTCAGCAGCATTAGGAACATGCTCCCAATGGAGCGGCACTGAGCCCAGCCCAGCCCACCACACTGCAAAGCCAGAAGCTGCTGCTCTGAGACAAGCCCTGCACAGAGTGGTCAGCAGCATTAGGAACATGCTCCCGATGGAGCAGCACCGAGCCCAGCTCAGGCCACCACACTGGGAAGCCAGAAGTTGCTGCTCTGAGAGATTTCCCACCCTCTCCTAAACCACATTTTTCCTCCTTCCCATGCCATTGGCAAGGTTTTGCCACCAATCCGCACCCACCAGAATCCTCCATGCCTGTAGCAACATGGAAGGCTTTGCTACTGTTCTCCTAAGGTCACCGTGTTGCTAAAGCCAACGATGCCCCTTTGCATTCAGTGAAATACTTGGTGCATGAACACAAGACAAGTTCACATCCAGCCCTTGCAGCAATACATGCCTGCATGGTTACGTCTTCCTCATGAACAGCCATTCAACACAGCCTACGGCTGCCGCCGGCCATGCTCAGAAGTTACCGCTCACCAAAAAACTAGAGGACCTTTTTTTTTTCAGTGAAAACTGAGGTTCTGCAGACACATGTGTGAACTCAAAGGATCCTGGGCAGCACAGAAGGTAGCTGATGTCTTAGGGCATGCCTGGGTCAAATGACCTGGTGCTTTCCTGCATTCCTTGTGCCTCTCTGATGATTGCTACCAGCAAGATACTACCTTACATTTCCTAGAGCACCTTAAGATTTGTGGTCCCATCCCACAGCTGCCTCGTTGATATGCTCAGCAAATACAGAGAAACCCCCCCACAGCTTACATTGTCCAGAATCATAGCAGAAAAACAGAATATTCTGTTTCATCAAAATCCAGAGGGATCAAAGCCTCAGCGTCCCATTGCACAGGAGGGTTATGCCAAGTGGATGCACCAGCAGACTGGCTGCTGAGGTCCTTTTGGAAACCAGGGCTGCGTTCACAGGCCTCTATTAAAAAAGAAGCCCTGCTCACATCCAATGAGCCCTGGCAGCTCCCACCACCTGGAAATACAGAGTGCCAGTCTCTTCCAGGTTTGCTTTACTCCTCATGACTCCTCCAACTACTCAGGGAAGTTTCTGGTACAGTGATTAGCATCATTAGCATCATCAGCCAAATGCTGAGGTGGAACACGGCTGAAGCACTTGGATAGGAGCAGATGGCAGTAAGACCACTTGAGGAGATGAATACGAGGATCCACTTCATCCCGCGGCGCTGAACTCAGCTAGTGATAAAATACTTGGGCAGTTTTTACAAGGAGGCTCATTCACACCCAGAAAGTAATGTGAGAGATTTCCTGGATGCTGCCAAGAGAGCAGTAGGTCTGAGGTGAGGACCTCTGGCTAAACCAGGCATCAGGAGATCCACTACACCACTAGAGAGATCACCCCCGAGTGACATCTCCTAAAGCTGACGTCACTTCTACCTGTGCTGAGGAATATTAGGGACAACACACCCAACGTTCTCAGTTCCAGCTAGCTTTGATCAGCAAAGAAAACCCACAGAGATCCTCCTGGCCACCCTGTAACCCTGCTGGTGAAGGCCCCTGTGGGGAGGGACCCATGGGAGATGAATGTACAAGGCAGACCTGCTGAAGGAAGAAGAAAGCTTTTGTGGCTGCCACAGCAAGATGTCCAGCTAACATGCAGTGGTTTTACATTCTGGGTTTTATCACAACACAAAGGATGGCAGGAAAACATCATTTTTCAGTACAAGTATGCATGGCTCATGTGGACCAAGATCCCAGTCACACCTACGTTTTCCAGAGGACACCTACCACAGCCATGGCCCCAGTAGCAGTCCCCTTGAGTTTCCCCAGGTTCCCCACCTCCCAAGCCCTCTACCATGCTATTCCTGCCTCGGACTGGCAGGATGCTCTTTTTTCAGCTGGTGCCTGAACCCAGGCGGCAGACAGACCTGCTGTTGGGACTAGCAGTCCCACTCAGCTGCCCACGCGTCGCTCCCACCCTGCCTCTGCAAAGCTTTGCCGTGAATACCATGCCAAAAGCCAGAAACGCTGATTGTGTAAATCCCCACAGCAGAGGAGCGGTAGGAGACGCAGTTGCACCCTGCACCAGGCAGCTCTGCCCCTGCTCAGCCGCCTCTGGGACCGTACTGGTGGCAAGCGATGGCAGGAACATCTGTCACCAGTGAGAGCTCCCATCTCCTCCCTAGGGACACAGCGTGTCTAGACCAATGTTTCACTCTGGTATGGTTTTATACCTTTTTTTCTTCAGGCACACATAGAGCTGAATATTTTTGTCACAGAGATGGCAAGGTCAGAGAAATTCACCTTATGAAGTTTGCGATATTCCTACAGGACCCCACTCCAAAGCCCCCCGCAAAGAACCTTCTCCTATTACAGTGCAGCTCATCTCTCATCTCAGCCACTGTATTTCAGGGGCAACTTTTCTTCTGATCCAAGCCCTATCTTCCTCGAGGGAAGAAGCTTGCCTTTGTACCTGCCTGCAAAGCACCAGGCATGCCAACGGTGCGACAAAAATAACTGTATACCGAGTATTCCAAGGATGATTTGGGCTACAAAGTCCCATGCTTTCAAACTAGAGAATATGATGCTTATTGTTGCCTGGACACCTTTCATTTGATTCATTCTGTATCTGGTCTAGATGCTGAAAAAGGGAAGGGTCCCCAGTTAGGAAAAAAAAAAAAAAAAAAAAAAAAGAGGACGATCTATAGGACAGCAAGGGGAAAGTTGCATCAGCAACCTGAAATCTGCCATTTTTTAAACTTGATGAAGTCCCACTTTGGCACACAGTAACATTTTAACAGCAGCTCTATTTAGATGGCTTTGGAGGACATCGCCTAGGTTTCTCTCCCAAAAGGATAAAGCCAAACACAGCGTTATGCCTGAGCGCATCAATTTGCAATCAGCAGCATTCAAACCCTGAACTTTTAACACTGCATTAATTCAGCGGGACAGAAGGATGTCTCTCATCAGCTAACAGTGAAGGTGGAGGGTGTCGGAAGGACTCAGGGGACCTGCTCCTCTCCCTGCTTCTCGGCCCAGCGACAGCAGCCCGAGCACTGCCTCAGAGTATGTGCTCTCATCAGGATCCCTGGAAAGATGTACAGATGGATGAGAGATGGGAAATGGTAGTTTTCAACCATTTCAGCAAAACCTGTGTGTATTGCCATGGTACAAAAAAGGCACTTCTCTAGTCCAAGGCTGATTTCTCACTGCTCTTCAAAAGCAATCAAGGGAGGTGTTAGCAATTCACTAGCTCAGGCAAGTTTTTACAACAGAAAACATTAGACAACCTAAAAGTGGACGTTGCTTTTAGCACCCCTTAAGCAAGTCATAAACAGCTCTGTCAAACAGTCAGTGCAAACTCATTCCAGGAGAGGAGAGGATCCCCTTCCACAAGCATTAACACGATGCCTCTTCAGACAGCCGCCAAGAGGAGTCCTCCCAACCACCCAAGTCCCCACACCCACGTATGTCCACTGTAAGTCCTCCAGGTGACACAAGGAGCTATTGCCAAGTCTACTCACCTTTCTACCCAGCTCTTGTAGTTGGGGATGTCCTTGGCATACAGTAGTTTGTTGGAGGGAGAGTCTTTTCCTAGCTTGTGCTCAGAAGTTGAGCAGGAGTCCATGAATGTCTGAGCCACCACGGATAGGCAGGCATCAGTAATACTGTTCTTGTGAATGTCAAACACAAACTGGGGGTTCTTAATCACATTCACCCAAAAACGTAGAGGTAGACTGAGGGAAGAAAGAAACAGGAGTCAACACCTGAAACAAGCTCTACATGGCAGCCAGCGCACACACATCTCCAGTTGCAGAAGGAGGAGCTCCCCACAACCCAGAATTGGGCAGGATGCTTTTCCCAGTGCCCCAGGAAACAACCTGGGGTAAAGGGCTGTTCCCCTCTGCCCCATTGCAATACCACCTCCTCTGCTCACCCCCACATGGACACAGATCTCTGTGGAGAAATTCCTCAGCACCACCAACATCTCCAAAGGTAAACCAGGGCAGCACAGATCTGCGGTTTCTCCAAGGATCCACTCATACTGAAGAGCCCCTGCTGAGCCCATGGGTCAAACCAGGCAAAGTCCCCTTCTCTCACATCAATAAGCCCATCTACTGCACTGTGTGGCATTTCACACGTCTCCATGTCAGAGGAGGGGGTTAACTGAACTTCTCAAGGGACTCATTAGCACATTTAACACCAGAGGAGAATTTAGGCAGCCTCCAATGTTGGAAACAAAGCTCTCAGCTGCAGAAGCGACGGGTCTCCTAGCCAGCCACTGACTGGATGTTTGCTGTGTATTGACATGGGTGCCACTCTCCATGGCTCCATTTCCCAGTCCTGCTGCCCCTCTCTTCTCCCAGGAGCACCTCAGAGTCTCCCCCCATCAGAACGCCTCTCCGCTCTGTCATCCCTCAGCACCAACACCCAGCGAATGCTTTTATCTTAGACAAAACACACTTCATTCCCCAGGACTTTCCTAATGAGGGTACCGGGTGCATGTACATATTTCATCTGTGAAGGGAATGGCCTCAAGAAATTAGCTCCACACATCGAATTAGCGCCCAGAGATAAGCACAGGCATTAGTATGCAGGAGCCTGCATGCCCAGCCCCTGCGGAGTGGGGCTTTTTTTTTTCCTCCCTTGCCTTTTGCTCCTTCTTTTAATATAGAAAGCTGAGTTATAAATCAGTTCCAAGCACTTCCACGCTCTCACATCTCCATTTAAAAATGTTTCTTTTCCTGCCCTGCTAATTGCCAACAGTTACTGAACTATACAAAAGCAATTTGGCTGCCATTTAACAAATGCCAGACACGGGAATGTACGTACCCGTCTCCAGTAACGGCAAGATCAGAGAGATGAAATCAGTGAGGCAGAAAAAAAGAAAAAGGCCGGGG